GCATGAGAGGGGGGAGGGTCAGGGGGAGAAGCAGACTCTCTGCTGAGCAGGGAGCCCGATGGGGGACTCCATCCCGGGACTCCAGGATCATGACCTGAGCCGAAGGCAGTCGCTCAACCAACTGAGCCACCCAGGTGCCCAAGGGGGAGGGCATTAAAATTTCTGACTGTACTTGAGAAAATGTCTATTTCTCCTTAGAGTTCTATCAGGTTTATGTATTTTGAAGCTTTTTTTTTTTTAAGGTTTTATTTATTTATTTGACAGAGAGAGACACAGTGAAAGCAGGAACACAAGCAGGGGGAATGGGAGAGGGAGAAGCAGGCTTCCCGCTGAGCAAGGAGCCCGATGTGGGGCTTGATCCCAGGACCCCGAGATCATGACCTGAGCCGAAGGCAGACGCTTAACGACTGAGCCACCCAGGTGCTCCTATTTTGAAGCTTTGTTGCTAGATGAATAGACCTTTTAGAATTGTGTCCTCTTGTGGAAATGACCTTCTTACTAGGAAATGGCCTTCTTCATCGTTTGGTTACAATCTTTGCTCTATCACAGATTTTGTCCGATATTATTATAGATTTTTCTTATTGTTTTTTAAAGATTTTATTTATTTGAGAGAGAGCACAAGTGAGAAGGAGGGGCAGAGGGAGGGGAGGAGCAGGCTCCCCGCTGAGCAGGGAGCCCGGATGCTGCAGGGGATTCAATCCCAGGACCCTGAGATCATGAACTGAGCCGAAGGCAGACAATTAACCCGCTGAACTACCCAGGCGCCCCTTAATATAGACTTTTCAATTAGTGTCTGTATGGCATACCCTATATTAATATAGCCACTCCAGCACCATTTTGATTAGTGTTAGCATGGTGTATTTTTTACTTTTCACCTACTTGTGTCTTCGTTTTTAAAGTGGGTTTCCAGGTGGGTGGGGGGATGGGGTAACTGGATGACGGGCATTAAGGAGGGCACGTGATTCGATGAGCACTGGGTGTTATATGCAACTGATAAATTATTGAACACTACATCTGAAACTAAGTATGTGCTATATGTTGGCTAATTGAATTTAAATTAAAAAATATAAATAAAAAATAAAGTGGGTTTCCTGTAGACAGCATATAGTTGGGTCACCCTTTTTTATCTGCCTTTTAATTGGGTTGTCTAGACAATGTATATTGATCATGATTATTGATATGGTTGGGTTTAAGTCTACCATCTTGGTTGCCACAACTGTATAAATTTCCTAAAACTCCGGGCACCTGGGTGGCTCAG